AAATGCGCGAAAAAGGCTAGTGACGGTTTGAGAGGACAGTACTAAAGATCTGGAGGGTGTGTACTTCGAGCCCCATGGGGTGGGGTGTTACAACATAGGACAATGAACAATCTGATTGATGCCATGAATGGCAGTAATATTAATGGGGTTGTTGGTAAACATGTATAGCTTGATGAAACTGCTTTAAACATTGTATGAATCTGGTATATTTGTTGAAGAGTATTTTGTGCCATTATGTACTATGTGGACTGATTGTTGTTATTACAATGCATTGAATGAAAAAATACATACTGGACTATAGAGTGGACTGAGAAAATATTTTGAATTGAATGAGTGCAGTAATATTGATGGAACGGTTAGCAACACAAGAGGGGGGGGGGGGGGGGGGGGGTAAATTGTGTGTGTGGAATCGTGGTAAGTTCTAGTGTGGGGTATAAGAAGATGCGAAATAGTAAAGTGCACAAAGATTTAACGACGAAAAATCCCTTGGCTCAAAGGGATTAAAAAACTTCGACCTCCCTCGGAGGAATTTTAACAACTTCACTAAAAAGCCTTTGAATGGTTACAAGAGAAACTCTCTTAGTATACCCTTGAGCCACCCCAACTCTATCCTCTCTAGGAAGAGTTACGCTTCTCTACCTTGCGGATAGAGAGCCTCTCATCATTACAACAAAGCTCTCACAACACACTAACTAACCCGAGGATGCTACACTTAGCCAATCCTCAAAACCGCATTACAATATGAAGAAGGGAAAGAAAGAACTATATCTAGAACTCCGGGTGAGCAGTTTCAGGTGCCTTGAACTTCAGTATTTCTTTTATGAATATATCACTTGATGTCTATCTCAAACAAGCACGCACTTTTTCTTTTTGGCTGCTTTGAATATATAGGCTGCTTTGAGGTGAATCCGTTGGGGCTTTCTTTCCTTGAGTAGATCAATAATGATTCTTGCCTTGTTACATTTTGAAAAGCCTTCCATCTTGAAATTTAAGTCAACCATCTCATATGGATTCATAAATCAAAGATGATTGCTCAAGAATAATTATCATAGTAGAGCAAGGAAATAATTTATTCACCTACCATAATAAGAGTGCAACAGACCATGGCAGCAAGTATCCTTATTCAAACTATTCACTTAATAAGTTAATCAAGGATAATCACTTATGGTAAGGGGATATTTACTGAATCACACGGTCAACAAAGCATACATTTCGTAAGTGCTGTGGTCAATCAAATCGTATGCTAAGCAATCTAATATAAAGGTAGCAAGAGTACTTTCCATAAACTATATGTGTCAATAAACTCAATGAGACATTCAATCATGTATGGAAATATATTCAAATTAAAGCACGTAAGATATCATAAAACATATTCATGCAGACACGTATCTAATTATGGCAGCAATAACTCATATGGAACTGAGGACAGTTCTGTCCATTTTTCATAATAGAACTCATAGCAGTTCTATCATTTTATCCACCGGCATGGTTAGTGATAGAATAATTCTATCCTTTGTTCCTGCATGGTTAGTCATCAACAAAACTAGATATTCAACAAATATGTTTGTTTTAATGATACCGTGTAATGTTCAAGTGCAATATGTTAATGCAATGATGATTACATGAAGTGTGAATGTAAGTGTAATAGCAATGAAATTGTACAAATGCATTTCAAGGCATGGATAGTAATATATGTTTGATGGTTCTGGTGTGCAGTAAGTTGTGTTCTTTAACATAATTTGTTGAGCAAAAAAGTGTTCAAATTTACTGCCATAATGTATGTGCAGTGAATAAGTGCACATCAATAGTGTTCTATAATGAAGAAAACATTGTGAAATTGTGTACTATATTGTTTGGTAGAGGTATACAAGAGTATCTTGATAGTGGATGATCAAAAGGAATTTAGAAATTAAAGTCCGCTTTTGGGTATATAATGGATGTTGGAAGCATGCCATATGTGAACGGACATGCAACTAATTGTCAAGCTTGTAGGCAACCATGTGCAGGAAGTGAAGGATAGAAAGAAGGAAAAGGAAATCAAGCTTGTTATACAAAACAAAATAGTGAGCTTGAAGAAGGAAGACTTTGCATTGATAACAGATTTGCAATTTGGCACTGAGAAACCGGAATTGAATAGAGTGTGAGGGTGACATATGGAAGCGGTATTTTGATGATGAGAAGAGTGTTGACCGGGGTGATGTGAAGCACGTGTTTGAGTCGCTGAACAACAGAGTTGAAGGTGTAAAAACTTTGGATGGAGTGAAGTTGACCTTGTTGCATGTTTTTGGCAGCTGGGAACCAAAGTTCAATAATATTTACAGCATGTTACATGAATCTCGAGGATGATCTAGATGCATTCAATACGTATCCATGGGGTGATGAAGTATGGGAAGATTTGGTAAAAAGGTTGAAAAGTGAGTAGAATTAATTGATAAAGGAAAGAACACGAGGTAGGTTGACTTTCCCAGGCTACATGTTTGCATTGCAGATTTGGGGGTATGAGACATTCCCCGTTCTGAGACGTGGAAATGTGCGCTGTAAAAGACCATCAACTTACTTTCCCAGAGCGCTACAATGGGCAACACCGTCAAGGCCAAGTCATGCAATCCTAGATGAGCTTGTGTTCAACAATGCAGAGGTAAGACAAAATTAATTACTTCTATCATACATTTTTGTATTAATTTGAATTCACATTATTCAATTTTGAGTTACTTGTTATTTTTGTGTGTAATGACAATTTGAGTGGGAACCAATGAAGCCCACAGATGAAAAGTTGAAGAATGATGCAATATCTAATGCATTGGAAATGATTGCTAAGGAACCTAAAACTTCAGAGAAATGTGACACACCTGTGAAAAAGGGAAAGGTGAAGATCTCACGTCGGGGTGGGGGGGCAGAAAAAGAACACCGATAATTGGGAAGACAATGACTAAGTGGAGGATGATAAGTTATTCGATATAGAGGGTTCTTCAAAGAGAAAGGGAAAGAAGACCAAAAGATGTGAATGAAAAACTCCTCAAAGAGCCGATGCTAAAGGGGCAACACATTGAGAAATTGGAGACGACAATTTTAAAGTTATGTGATTTGCAGGTCAAGCAAGCTTCGATGATAAAGAAACTCATTGTGAGTACCAAGAAAGGGAAGAGTGTTGTAACTGGAAAATTTATATTTCCGAGGAAGAAAAAGGGAACAAAGAACAAGATATGCCTTCGTTCGAGCTGGATGGGGAATGTCATGACGAAAACGAAGAAATGGAGAAAAGCAGTGATGTGAGGGAAGATGATGAAATCAATGAAGAATTGGAGCATCGGCCAAAGGGGCTTAATGAACACGTGGCAGAACAAATTGAGGAGAACCAATAAGTTGTGAAAACTGATTGGAGAGCTGGCTATGAGGATCCAATCAACACCCAGGTGTTGGTTATGGAAGTGAATAAGATTTTGGAGAAAGTGCAGGGGAGGACATAAAATGAAAGCACTGATTTAGCCATTAAGACGCATGTTGAAGGCGGTAAAAATGAGGTAAAATGCATGCATGTATACTGGCACTAGTACATTGTTGCTTTAATATGTCTTTGATTTCAGGTGACTGGTAAAGTGGTCCATCAAGTACGAGAACGATAATTGAAGAGGGAATAAAAATGAATGTTGAAGGGGTGGATTGTTTTGAATTTTTAAGAACTTGATGAAAATGTGGATTGTTTTGTGTTGTGAACTCTTGGAATGTTTGATGGTTTAATTCTGAAATGGTTTGTGTTTAATGTGTGGTGGTGATATTGTTTGTTTCTTGCGCGTGTGAAACACAATTAATTTATTTTTGAGGAAACTTCACTGCCCTTATGAAATGTTGTGCTATAAATGGCAGAATACGATGTTACGCATTGCACTATTTTAAATTTCAAAAGAGAGTGTTAAAATGGAATTAATATGACATTCATGTCAGGCACTCGGGGTTGATGGCACTCCAAATAGATCAAGAAGAAAAACAAAAATTCCTGGCAGGTTAACATTGTCAGAGTCTGTCAATGCAAAAAAAGGAAGAAGAGTGAAGATGTGACCGCGTTTAGAGGGCAATTACCACGGGATCCAAAGCATCCTCCTCGAGTGGACTTGCAAGAGTTGGACAACATCTTTCATGGTAACAAGGTTGCTGAAAAATCATAAAACAGATGCAGTGCGGAAATACAAGGCGGGTTATGAATAACTGGTATTACGAAATAGCAAGCAACTTTGGGCAGATGAGAGTGTCAAAGAAATCACGGTATTATGCATTTTTATTTGATTAAAACTGAATCAAAGACACTGTAATTTTTAATAAATGTGTATTTCATTAGTTATTTTAGTTGTCAAATTTATAATTGCATAAAACATGAATGTAATAGTCGTGTTTGCTGTTACATTACAACACATTGATGTGGTGCTCTACTACGTGCACTTAAAGAGTATGTGCTAAAGCAGAAATTCAGCACTTCTCAGTGCTATTTTTTTTTACAGTAGTTAAGCAACAGTCCAATGTAATTCTAAAAATAAATGTTCTTTTGAAGATTGTGCACTCAACGAAAACCTAAGGAGTGTCATTTTTGGAACATGTGTGGATTGTGGATTTCCTTGGGCCGAGTGCGAACATGTGTACATGCCAATGAACATTGGACATCATTGGGTTCTTCTAGTACTTGACATTGCTCAGAAGCAAATTCGGGTTTATGATTCTAGCAATCGTAACGGAGGAGTTAGTATTAGATGGAGTCAATACACACAATGTATGGAAGTACACTTAGCTAAGTTGATGGATTTCTTCAGTGCGCACAATGATCGAGTTGAAGGACCCATTGAAGATGGAAAGTTGGAAGTCACTTTCGTTCGTCGGTGCCCAACGAAGCAATCTTAGTCTACAATCACTTACTTAACCGAAAGTGACTTCAACCGAAGAAATCCATCAACTTAGCTGAGTGTACTTTCATACATTGCGTGTATTGACTCCAACTGATACTAACCCCTCCGTTACGATTGCGTGTACTGACTCCGTTATTAATAGCACTCAGTAGTGCTGAATTTGTGCTTTAGCCCGTAGTCTTTGCCCTTTAGGCGTCTAGGCGCAAGTTGTAGAGCACAACATCAATGTGCTATAATGTAATATCAAACACAACTATTACATTCATGTTTTATGCAATTATAAATTTGACAACTAACATAACTAATTAAATGCACAAGTATTAAAAATTACTGTGTCTTTGATCAAATTTTAATCAAATCAAAATGCATAATACCGTGATTTCTTTGATACTCCCATCTGCCCAAAGTTGCTTGCTATTTCGTAATACCGGATCTTCATAACCCGCCTTGTATTTTCGCACTGCATCTGTTTTATGATTTTTCAGAAACCATGTTACCATGAAAAATGTTGTCCAACTCTTGCAAGTCTGCTCGAGGAGGATGCTCTGGACCCCGAAGTAATGGCCCTCTAAACGCGGTAACTTCTTCACACTTCTTCCTTTTTTTGCAATAACAGGACCTGATAATGTTAACCTGTCAGAAATTTTTGTTTTTCTTTTTGGTCTCTTTGGAGTGTCATCAACACCGAGTACCTGACATGAATGTCATATTAATTCCATTTTTAACACCCTCTTTTGAAATTTAAAATAGTGCAATATGTAACATCGTATTATGCCATTTATGGCACAACCTTTCATAAGTGCAGTGAAGTTTCCTCAAAAATAAATTAATTGCATTTCACACGTGCAAGAAACAAACAATATCACCATCACACATTAAACACAAACCATTTCAGAATTAAACCATCAAACATTCCAAGAGTTCACCACTCAAAACAATCCACATTTTCATCAAGTTCTTAAAAATCAAAACAATCCACATATTTTACCTCACTTTCCACCCCTTCAACATTCATTTTTATTCCATCCTTTTCAATTATCGTTCTCATACTTGATGGACCGCTTTAGCAGTCACCTGAAATCAAAGACATATTAAAGCAACAAAGTACTAGTGCCAGTATACATGCATGCATTTTACCTCATTTTTACCGCCTTCAACATGCATCTTAATGGCTAAATCAGTGCTTTCATTTTCCGTCCTCCCCTGCACTTTCTCCAAAACCTTATCCACTTCCACAACCAACACATTGGTGTTGATTGGATCCTCATAACCAGCTCCCCAATCAGTTTCCACAACTTCTTGTCTCTCCTCAATTTGTTCTGCCACGTGTTCATTAAGCCCTTTTGGCCGATGCTCCAATTCTTCATTGATTTCATCATCTTCCCTCACATCGCTGCTTTTCTCCATTTCTTCCTTTTCGTTATTACACTCCCCATCCAGCTCGAACGAAGGCATATCTTGTTCTTTGTTCCCTTTCTTCTTCCTTTGAAATACAAATTTTCTAGTCACAACACTCTTCCCTTTCTTGCTACTCACAATGAGTTTCTTTATCATCCAAGCTTGCTTGACCTGCAAATCACATAACTTTGAAATTACCATCTCCAATTTCTCAAAGTGTTGCCCCTGTAGCATCGGCTTTTTGAGGAGTTTTTCATTCACATCTTTTGTCTTCTTTCCTTTTCTCTTTGAAGAACCATTCATATCGAATAACTCACCAATCTCCACTTGTTAATTGTCTTCACAATTATCAGTCTTCTTTTTCTACCCCCCACCCCGACGTGAGATCTTCACTTTTCCCTTTTCACAGGTGTGTCACATTTCTCTGAAGCTCTAGATTCTTTAACAATAATTTCCAATGCATTAAATATTGCATCATTCTTCAACTTCTCGTCTGTGGGCTTCATTGGTTCCCACTCAAATTGCCATTACACACAAAAATAACAACTCAAAATTGAATAATGTGAATTCAAATTAATACAAAACTTGTATGATTGAAGTTATTAATTTTGTCTTACCTTTGCATTGTTGAACACAACCTCATCTAGGATTGCATGGCCTGGCCTTGACGGTGCTACCCATTGTAGCGCTCTGGGAAAGTAAGTTGATGGTCTTTTGCAGCGCACATTCCCACGTCTCAGAACGGGGAATGTCTCATACCCCTAAGTCTACAATGCACACATGTAGACTGGGAAAGTCAACCTCGTGTTCTTTCCTTCATCAATTAATTTTGCACAATTTTCCACGAGATTCATGTAGCATGCTGGAAATTTTATTGAAGTTTGGTTCCCAATAATGTAGCCACTGTTCTAAAAATCGGCCTAGGCGGACTGATTAATCGGCCTAGTCGGCCAAAAAATCGGCCTTGTCGACCGCCTAGGCGCTCCTCAACCACCCCACTAGCGCCTAGCGAGTGTTAGAACAATGAATGTAGCTACCAAGAACATGCAACAAGGCCAACTTCACTCCATCCAATGCTTATACACCTTCAACTCTTTTGTTTAGTGACTCAAACATGTGCTTCACATCACCCGTGTCAACACTCTTCTCGCCATCAAAATATCGCTTCCATATGTCACCCTCACACTCATTATTCAATTCCGGTTTCTCAGTGCCAAATTGAAAAATATACTAAAAATACACTAATATAGCCATCTTATAATTATAGTTGGGGTATTACTATATATTGTTTTTTTGACAAAGTTTCTTAATTTTCTTAAACGATTTTGATTTCATAAATATAACTGTTATGTTTTTATTTTTAAAATAAGAGTAATTACCTTCATTTTTAGCATGATCAGGCGTTAAACATGACATATTTTCTTTCTTTTGGCATTAATTATTTTTATTTAGATTTCTAAGACGTAACGAAACTATTTTAGAAATCTAAAACGTCTCTTTAAAAAAAAAATCTAAAACGTCTCAACTCTTATTCCCAGAATTATCCCTTATCTTTTTATGCATTATTAGGATTGTTTCAAACTAATTACTTCGTATAGAACAATTATAAACGATATACCTCAGGTGCGGCTGCAGGTAGCTGAACTGAGAACCGAGCACCCCGCTAATCGCTATATATAGGCCCACAAAAGCAACTTCCAGTAAGGAAATACGGAGTATTGATAAGCCTGAGTCAGCAAATAATAATAGTGAACGTAATAATAATACATGGTCTGATGGCATGTGGCACATCCAAGGAGGAGGTCACAGATTAGAATCATTCAGATGTTGGCATTAACATTGAGCAGATATTATATAGGTTAGAAAGAATTGTCCAAAAACAAATATTACGGTAATATTAGAAATTTAAAGGATTTTCTATACAACATGTACTGTATAAAAACATGTAAATGCAATCCAAAGTCCAAAGTCCAAGCAATATTAACTAGCAAAATGACTTTTTGTCACTTTTAGGCATCCGAATGTTATATTAGTGTCACTTTTTATACTTGATTTTTAATTCTTCTCCTTTTAATTAGGGATCCAAACGAGTCAACAAGCCGCTTATAACTTGCTCATAAGCTGCTCGTAAGTTGCTCATAAGCCGATCGGTCAAAACTCGACCCGAGTTCGATCAAACTCGAGCTGCTCGAGTTCAGTCAAACTCGTGATCCATGCATGCATAAATAAATAAATAAATATTATTATATCAAATATATAGGCATTACATTTATTTATTTATTTATTGATGTCTATTTATTTATCTATTTAGATATTTCGAAATTATATTGATAGTAAAATTAGGACTAAAAACATCAGTGAAGGAGAGAGGAGTTAAAAAATGAAAATGATTAAGTACAAATATTAGAGGGGAAAATAATTTTAAATAACCCCAGCTTTAATAGGGTGTGAGATCGATAAGTACCCTCAAATTTGCATATGTAATACATATACTCCGAACTTTATATAAAAAGTTATTTACGCAACATGATTGTATGTTTTTAACAAATACAAATTTATTGAAATGATTACATAATTTAAAATACTCTTAATCTTTGTTAGAGTGCAATTAGCATTATAAAATTTCATTTGTGAATTAAATAATATTATATCCGGTATAATTTAATTTTAGTTGCACCTTAATAAATGTTTTGTGTATTTTATATTATGTACGAAGTACTTAACACCATAAAATTACATTTGTGAAAAAAATATGATCATGATGCATGCTAACATAACTTTTTATGTAAAGTTTGGGGTACGTGGTATATATAGTACATGTATATAAGTTTGGGTTATTTATTTCACACCCCTTCAAAGTTTGGAATATTTAAATCATTTTTCCCAATATTAGATATTATTTATTTGTATATATAAGTGTAATTATAATACTTTGGAAAGTAGAAATTTTAATTTTAGCTCGAATACGAACTCAACTTAGGGCATCTTATTGGAACGCAATCCTATAAAATTAATTAGTAAACTTTGACCCAAACTTGTAACTAAAACAAGTAATTTGTTGATCGATGTCATATGAATTTGTTGTAAAATTAATGTGCATGTAATATTTGTTGATAAGTGTTATGTAAATAAAACAAGTAATTTGGTAATTGCAAAATACGCATGTAAAAAAATTGAAACTAGGGCGCTTCCGCAAGAAAAGTGCCTCTAATATGTGTTTCTTCAAACTGTTAGACGCGCTTTATTTTATCCTGAAAAGCACCGCAAATAATAAAATAATAAATTTTATTTCATCCAAAATAATTAAATTTGGAGGCGTTTAATGTCTAAAAGCGTCACACATGATTTGAAAATTTTACGGCCGTCGCTTATGGCGAACAAGTGCCACAAATATGATCAAAATAATTAAATAAAAAAAATGGCGGCACTTGTGACCAGGAAAGCACCTCCGATCAGACGTTGCGGCCAGTGGCGTATCTATGGGGGCAGCGGGGGCAGCTGCCCCCACTCAACCCCAACCCAACCCCTACATATATGTCCAAATTTTTACAAGAAATTACTCAAATTAAGAGTTAAATGTAGATAAAAAAAATTCTAAAATAGGATTAGAAGTGTTTTCTTTAATATTAAAAGAATGAAAGGCTAAAAAATTCACTAAATTATGTTATGTTTAAGACCGTTTAACTTATATTTAGGTAAATTTATTACATTTTATTTGCAATTACATCTTTACACACCCGTAATATAAATTAATCTTCTTTTTTGTCATACTTGTACATAGATATTATAAACTAAATTTAATCAAACAATATTAATAATGTGATTTGTTATTTGTGAAATATGAGACTAAATTGTAGTCAAGTTTGCCCCCACTTGCGGCAGAAAAAAATGGAGGCGCTTACGAGTTTTGAAGCGCCTCCAATGACTGATTTTCCAGTAGTGATTTTTAAAAATGGCCTACGAACAGAAAATCTCAAAATGTAATATGCCAATAAAAACACTGCACCCTTCATTTTAAATACGCTATTAAGATCGTAAATTTTCAATTCTCAAAATATATACTCTAATTTCAAATTAATGTTATGGTGTAGAACTCTAGCTAGCTCCTCACAATTTTTTTTCAAAATCAAGAAAAATTGTTGTTACAACAACAATTGCATATTCATAATAATATCACATCCAGGGTTTTAAATAGCGGCCCGCTACCGCTATAGCGGCCGCTATATAGCGGTCGCGGTAGGGGCCGCTACCGCTACGACCCGCTATTCCGCCGTGAATTCCAAATCACGGGAAAAACCCGCTACACCGCCCGCTACAGCCCGCTATTGACATTTCCGGCAATACGTCACGAATGGGTTGATATGTAAATGTGTCTATGTTGTGTAAATGAACTCTTAATGTTATAAGTGTTCAAACAAATATTCACAATGTTTGTATTAACTTCAACACTCATTAAATATATGTTTTGCGCAATTGAAAATATTTCATGCCGCTGCAATCGCTACAGTCGGCTATAGGCCGCTACCGCGATGACCGCTACCGGTACCGCTGCCACTACGGCTATTTAAAACCTTGATCACATCAAATGAAAAGTAAGACAACTCAAATAAATACCTTTGACGTGGTAATGAGCTTACCATTTCTATTACTTGAGCAATTGGAATACTTCCTCAAACGGTAATGCATCCAAGTTATGTTTCTCCTTGAATGAATTATATAAATTGGCGCTTATTATGTGTTACTCGGTAGAAAATACAAATTTTTATTTTTAAAAAATACGAATTAGTTCTATTTGAGTATAAACACAGATGGAAAATATGTGATAAGCTGCACATATCACGTACTTTATTATATTTAAAAACATCAAACTGGAAAAAAAATCAATAGAATTGCAAATCAGATTTAAACAGAGCACACATTCCGTCGAGAAAAGTTGTTTAATTTATGTAGTAGTCATGCAATTCAAGTAGGGATTATATAGTTGCTGAGACATTAATATCACAATTTTAGAGGATCTATTGGATTTTGGATACCTATATCCAACTACTATGATCAAAATGGAAACTATTTATCCTTAAAATCCAACCACCATTATTAATCTCTTAACGTGATAAGAAAATTATGTAAGGTCTTTTCCCGCAAAAAAAAAATTATGTAAGGTCTTTTTGTTTTATTGTTTTAGAACAAGCACTGAGTATTATTTAAAGGGGTCAATATATAGTGTTTTCGTATTTCGGTAGGAGTTTGACGAATGCATGAAGCTAATCATCGTCTTTCAGTATATTTTTTCACAAAGTTATCCATTGTTTTCATGTAATTAAAAAAATATGTGGTTAAGTTATTTCTATTTACAAACATTAAGAGCAAGTAATTTTTGTTTTTATAAATTTTGTGTCTAGTCATGAATACTGAAAATATAATTATTATGATTATTATTGGTTATGATGTTCAGTAGTTCACGCATCATACTTAAGATATATATGATGTTAATAAAAAACTATTTATTCTTAAACATAGTTTTGTAAAATAATATAATACTCCGTACTACATAGAATATTTGTATTAGTCTGTTTTATTTTTTACTAAAAATATACTTCGTACCAAACCGATTTAAACCGAACCGAAATCGGATCGTATGCAATTTGGTTTGAATTTGGTGCTATTTCTCCTAAACCGTATTAAACCAAATCGAACCAAAACCGAATAAACCGAACCAAACTAAAGAAATTGAAAAAAACCTTCATACATTATTAAAAATAAACAAATCCAAACCGAACTAAACTGAACCAATCCGAAAAATAATATGGTTTTTGTTAGGTAATAGATTAATAATTCTTCCAAGAGTAATAAACAAGAGTAATAAAGTAACTAAAAAGTCGAAATAACACGTCAAGTTTCATCTTGTCTAATTTGAGAATTTTCAATTAGATCTGACCGTTTTTCGATGACACCCCAACCCCTGAGGGCCCCAACACCGACCGAACGGCGCGATGAGAGGAGGTAAATTTGACTATAATCACAATCTGACATAGAGAGTAGAGAGCTTCGTCCCGGTACATGCAGAAGCCCTATGCATTTTTAGCATAGTAACATCTTGCCGGGATTTGAACCCGGGACCTAAGCACTCCCTCACTACCGGTTGAGCTACGCCCACGGCCCACCGGTATCTGAACGTTTTTCTGATTTTTTTTATATGAAAGTTGAGATCGGTCTGATTTGATTAGAATAAGAACAATTTTACCTTCGTCTGTATCTGCGCGCAACCAGCGAAAAGGAGAATGATAAGAGGATCGATGACAGCGGCTCTGTCTGTTAAGATTGTGAATGGTTTTAGGGCAGTCCGATTCTATTAAGATTCGGCTCGATCGATCTAGCCACGCTGCATTGGTGGGTCGAACTGACGGGCTTGGCAGAGGCCGACGATTGAGC